CCCCAAAACCCCAAAACCCCAAAACCCCTGATACTTATTAAGAAATTATTTGGATTTTTTATAGAAAATTTAATTTTTATATTTTTATCTAAGTTTCCTGACAGCCCAATATCTTAGAAATATCCACAACAGGAAAATAAAGCTAATCAATTTAGATTTAAAGTAAAATGAATTTTTACACTTCATTCTGCACTAAGAATTCATTTCTTGATTTTGTTCTAGATTATCCCTGAATCTATCATGCTTTGAGCCATATCGATAACACTCTTTTGAGGGAAGATATAGTCAATTCCAAGAATATCTTTTGATTTTTAGTTTTTAAGGTTGAGAGTTTTACCCCAATATGGTAAGATAAGTTTAATTGTTTTGTCAAATAAAGCAGCAATTTTTATTGTGCAATAGCTCAATTCTGTATCTTTAATTTTATAGAATTTTCCGAATTCACTCTTAAGTGCTGAAGCCATTTCTACAAACCAGACTCCTTTGCAACTAAGAATGAACCTATTTCCCTTAGCTTCCTCTACTTCAATCGCTCTCAAATGGGCAAGAGCTACATCTCTGACATCAACAATTGGGAACATAATCTTTGGCATTCCTGGGAACTTTTCTCCCATTATTTTCTGAATGATGACGCCAGAGGTGAAATCAGATTGAACAAGGCTAGGACCAAGAATCAATGCTGGATTTATAACAACCAGCTCAAATTTTTCATCGTCAGGTAAATCTCTCTGAAAATCCCATGCTGCTTACTCAGCTAAAGTTTTAGACTTTTCATAGGCTTAACATCCTTTTAGATTTGACCAATCTGTCTCTGTATAAAATTCTTTCTGGGTCTCTTCAGTTTGCATCATAATGGCAGCTATACTAGATGTGATTACTAATCTTTTGACTCTGTACTTGTGAGCAGCTCTCACCACAGTCATAGTACCTTCTACTGCTGGCTTTATGATCTCATTCTCATCTTTTGGCTATTCTCCAGGGAATGGAGACGCTGTGTGAACAACAAAATCCATACCTTGAATAGCTTAGTCAAGAGATTGATCATTCATCAGATCAGCTTCAACTAACTCCAGTTCATTAAAAAGATCTCCAAAGGCTTTTCTTAGAGGAGCTATCTTTTTTTCATTATGTTTATCTCTAACAGTGCCTCTGACATGGTACTTTCCTGATTCTAAGAAAATCTTGCATACATAGGAGCCTAGGAATCCAGAGATTCCTGTAATGACGACATTCTTTTTAGAACTTTCCATAGTATATTTATAGTAAAAAATTTTAAATGTAAATGTTTTATATTGAGTAAAACACTTATTACGAAGATATATGCAAACAAATATATATTAAATCTTTCATGATTTTATTTGTATTAATTCGCTGAATTTTACTCCAATGGGGTTTTGGGGTTTTGGGGTTTTGGGG